TTCAGGGAACTGAGGTCACAGAGCAAACTGATACAAAAACGAAATGCCTACACTGACTGAACACACTTACCTGAGGCAGACGCAGCGCGACTCTGGCAGGTGAGTCTGTTGAGAACAGATGGCATACTGTGAAGACTGAGTGCAAGCTGTCAGGATAATTCCTAGGATTACAGAAATTCCTCTGCAACCTCTCTAGGAAACCCAGTGGTGATTACTGAAAGGATCTCAAAAGAGCTCTAAAACTCAAGGACCATAGTACAGAATTAGGGTGGGGAGCAGGAGCCATGTGGGAGGGGCAAGAAACCCCAGCCAGGTCCTTCCCCCTCCATCTCCAATAAGGAACAAAAGCCTTCATCTATACAGGGAAGGGCTCTGATGAACAGTCGACAATGTCAACAACTCCAATTCCAGGAGAAAAGACAGGATCACACAACAAGCCCACAACTTCAGCCAAGGAAGTGACAGGAGAATTGAGCAGGCCCTACCCCAAAACTCAGGGCTGCCATACATGTCCAAATAAAAATGCTTCAAATGAAAGTTATTGGAAGACTAGTACCAGGAGGGACCTGAGAGAAATACGGGTATGCAAATATACACTCTATGAAGCAACACAAATAGGGAAGACTTAAAACAGAATTACAGGGATATCTGGGTGGCTCAGTTGGTTAGGCGTCTACCTTTGGCTAAGGTCATGATCTGGGGACCCTGGGATCCAGCCCTGTGTCGGGATCCCTGCTCACTGGGGAGTCTGCTTCTCCCTCTGCCTGTGTGCTCTCTCTCTCTCTCTCTCTCTCTCAAATAAATAAAATCTTAAGAAAAAAAAAAAAAAAGAATTACAGAGTTCTAGTAAGTCACCCTCACACTAGACATAGCTATAGAAATTTGAAGGTTATGGTGCACCGACAATAACCATAGCAACAACAAATCCTAAAAGCTAGGCCGACTCTTAATAAGAGTAACGTAAACTACAACCCTAAGGGCCTAGTAGAAAGAAAACTGTCCATTTCTGGGTTTAAAAGTGATTTATTACAGGGGTGCCTGGGTGGCTCAGTCGTTAAGCGCCTGCCTTCAGCTCAGGTCATGATCCCGGGGTCCTGGGATCAAGCCCCACGTCAGGTTCCCCAGTTGGTGGGAAGCCTGCTTCTCCCTCTCCCACTCCCCCTGCTTGTGTTCCTTCTGTCTCTATAAAATAAATAAAATCTTTTTTTTTAAAGTGATTTATTTCAGTTTCTACCACCCTATACAATATGTCTGGCTTTGAAGAATAACTGCAATTTTGTAATAATGACACAAAAGGCAAAAAACAAACCACTCCAAAGAGACAGAGCAATCTCAAAACAAGACTCAGATATGAAGCAGGTTGGAACTATCTAACAGGCAATTTAAATACCTTAAAGACTATTAACAGAAAAGATGGACAACGTGCTGGATCAGGGGGGTAACTTTGGCAGAGAAATGAACTCTACAGAACCAGTGAACCTGAAGACAGGTCAAGTCACCTGAAGAAACAAAAAGAAAAGGGGCTGGAAACAACCAAGAAGTGCGAAACAGTATGAAACATTCTCACATATATATAATTGGAATCCTATGAGGAAGTGAAAAGAGCAGAAGAACAATGGTTGAGAACTTTCCCAAATGAATCAGACACCAACCCACAGATCCAAGCAGCACAGAGAATATTAATTAGGATAAATAACAAAAACAAAGCAAATCTGCTTCATGATTATCACCCCCAGCCACTAAAAACAAAAAGAGAAAATCCTGAAGGCAGTCAGAGATAAAGGAGAAACTACATAGAGAAGAACAAAAACAAGAATTACACCAGGCTTCTTGTGAAAAAACAAAAACAAAAAACCCAAAACAAACAACAAACCCATGAAAACCAGAAGGCAGTGGAGTGATTTTTTTAAGTACTACAAAGGAAAAACAACCACCACCTGTTAAGTCAAAATCCTATACCCAGCAAAGATATCTTTCTAAAAATAATGAGGAAAAACTTTCTCAGAAATAAATACTGAAGAAATTCATTGCCAGGAGACATACAAGAAACGTTACAGAAGGTATTTTAGGCAGTGAGAATTTGAGTAAGATGGAAACTTGGATCTACAAAAAGAAATGAAGAGCCCTAAAAATGTAATACAAGTAAAAAGAAATCAATCTTTTCTTTTTTTTTAAAGAATTGCACTAAAAGATGACTTCTAAGAGCAAAATTAGCAATGTATTGTGTATTTACAGCATATGTAAAAGCAAAATGAATAACATCAATAGCACAAAGAACTGGGAATATACTGTGTAAGGCATTTCTGCAGGCATACTTTAGAGAGACTGTGGGGGTTCAGCTCCAGACCACTACCAGTAACGCCAGTCAAATGAAGTATTTGGTTTCCCAGTATACGATACCATAGCACACTAAGTGTGCAACAGTGTTATGTCTAAAAAAAAAAATTATGTAATATCTTAATTTTAAAATGCTTCATTTTAAAATTAGCATAAATATAAATACTATATCTATTAAAAAATGCTAACCATCATCTGAGCTTTCAGCAAGGTGTAATCTTTTGCTGCTGGAGGGTCTTACAGTGGGGTTGCTGAAGGCTGGGGTGTCTACGGCAGTTTCTTAAAACAAGAGAATAAATTTGTTACACTGATGGACTCTTCCTTTCCCAAATGATTTCTCTGCAGCAAGCGAGGTTGTCTGGTAGCATTTCACCCACAGTAGAATTCCTCTCCACAATGGAACCAGTCCTCTCAAGCCCTGCCACCTTATCAACTAAGGTCATGCAATGTTCTAAGTCCTTGTCAGATTTCAACCATCTCCTCAGCATCGTCACCAGGAGCAGACTCCAGCTCAAGAAATCACCTTCCTCGATCCTTCACGGAAGCACGTCCTCACCCGTGCAAGTGTTATCCTGTGAGGGCAGCAGGTCGCTCGCCTCTCCAGGCTCTACTTCTGGTTCTCTGGCTGTTTCCACCACATCTGCACAGTGACTTCCTCCACTCAGTCTTGAAGCCCTCAATGTCCTCACCAGGGCGGGAGCCCACTTCTTCCAGATTCCTGTTACTATTGACATTGAGCCATGGGAACATTTTCTTAACGGCGTCTGGCATGGTGAATCCTTTCCAGAAGATTCTCAATGTATCCCACCCAGATCGAGTGGAGGAATCACCATCCATGGCATCTACAGCCTTGCGAAACGTGTCTCCTAAATGATAAGACTTCAAAGTCAAAATTACTCCTTGCTCTGTGGACTGCAGAATGGAAGCTGTGTTCACAGGCAGGGAAACGGCACTCATCTCCCCGTATGTCACCAGAGCTCTTGGGTGACCAGGTAAAATGTCAATGAGCAGTCATATTTTGAAAGGAACCTTTTTTTCTGAGCAGTAGGTCTTAACAGTGGGCTTGAGACATTTCGTAAACTTCGCTGTGAACAGATATGCTGCCATCCAGGCTGTGTTGTTCCATGGGTAGAGCACGGGCACAGGAGAGAGAACACAATTCTTAAGGGTCCTAAGAATTTCCAGAATAGTAAAGGAGCACCAGCTTCAGCGGAAAGTCACCAGCTGCATTAGCCCCTAACAGGGAGCCAGCCTGTCCCCTGAACCTCTGAAGCCAGGCGCTGACCTGTCCTCCGGCGAAGACAGTCCGAGATGGCATCTTCTCCCCAGATAAGGCTGTTGTGTCTACATGTGAAGAATCCGCTGTTTAGGAGTCACCTCCATGGGCGATCCAAGATGATCTCTGGCAGATCCCACCGCAGCTTCTCCATCAGCACATGCTGCTCCCCCCGGCCCCTCTGTGTCTTCTTAAACCTCACGAACCCACTCTGCTAGCTGCAGACTTTTCTTCTGCGGCTTCCTCACCTCCCTCAGCCTTCCTGGACTTGAGAGTCAGGGCCTTGCTCTGGATTAGACTTTGGCTTAAGGGAATACTGGGGCGGGTCTGATCTCCTATCAGACCACCCAAATTTTCTCCCTATCAGCGATGAGGCCGTTTGGCTTTCTTATCATTCATGTGGTCCCTGGAGTAGTGCTCTTAACTTCCTTCAAGAACTTTTCGTTGGCATTTGCAACATGGCTGTCTGGCACAAGAGGCCTACCTTTCCGCCTATCTAGGCTTCAGACATCCCTTCCTCACTAACTTAATCATGTCTAGCTTTTCATTTCAAGTGAGTTATGTGTGACTCTTCCTTTCACTTGAGCACTTAGAGGCCATTACAGGGTCATTAACTGGCCTAATTTCCATATTGTTGTTTCTCAGGGAATAGGGAGGCCCAAGGGAGAAGAGGGGGGTGGACTGACAGTCCACAAAGCAGTCAGAACACACACAACATTTATCAATTAAGTTCAACATCTTTTTTTTTTTTTTAAGATTTTATTTATTTGACAGACAGAGATCACAAGTAGGCAGAGGCAGGCAGATAGAGAGGGAAGTAGGCTCCCCGCTGAGCAGAGAGCCTGATGCGGGGCTTGATCCCAGGACCCCTGGATCATGACCCAAGCCGAAGGCAGGGGCTTTAACCCACTGAGCCACCCAGGCACCCCAATTAAGTTCAGCATCTTAAAAAAGAAGCTTCCCATCCTAATGGGCACAGTTTGTGGCACCCCCAAAAATTACAACAGTAACATCAAAGATCACTGATCACACATCACCGTAACAAATGTAATAATAATGAGAAAGTCTGAAATACTGAGAATTACCCACCTGTGAGCCAGAGACACAAAGGGAGTCAATGCTGTTGGAAGAACTGCACCAATAAAAAACCCTGCTCAACAACACAGGCTTCCACAAACCCTCAGTGTGTAAAACAAGTGCAGTGTCTGTGCAGCATCTGAAGGGAAACCGTGGGTGAATCTAAAATGTGCAGTGTAAGGCCAAGGAAGATGTGAGGCAAGAGAAAGTGACACATGCCCTTCGTTGTCATGCAGCAGGGAGCAAACAGCCACTGTCATCCCCACCCCACCCCCCCGCCCTGTGGCTGCCCACGACCATTTCCACAGAGATGTCAGCCACTGGCACCGGGGGCCTTCAGGCCACCTACCACCCAATCCTTGAGAAAGTGAAGCTCTTGCTGGCAGAGAAATTGAGGCTGTTGTACTACATGGAGGGTCCCAAAGTCTTGTTCTGGGCTCCAGCATGCACTGGACTGGCTGACATGGCCAGACCTGCACAGAAACTCAGTGCAGCTCAGTCTATCACGCTGATGGCTACAGGATTTATGTGGCCAGGATACTCACTGGTAATTGCTCCAAAAACCTGGAGTCTGTTTGCTGTTAATTTCTTTGTGGGGGCAGCAGGAGCTTTTCATTTCTTTTATAATTGGAGATATAACCAAGAACTAAAAGCTAAAGCCAACAAGTAAGAGTTCCTGACCACCCAAACAATCTAGATGTGGACATAACCACTGGGAGGAACTTGATTTATTACTTGGCTATCAAAAAGGTGATAGTCACTGTGCTACTGTTTGGAAGGCATTAAAAAAAAAAAAAAACCAAACTGGGGCGCCTGGGTGGCTCAGTGGGTTAAAGCCTCTGCCTTCTGCTCAGATCATGATCCCAGAGTCCTGGGATCGAGTCCTGCATGGGGCTCTCTGCTCAGCGGGGAGCCTGCTTCTCTGTCTCTCTCTGCCTGCCTCTCTGCCTACTTGTGATCTTCATCACAAATAAATAAAATAAAATAAAAAACAAAACTGTAAACTTGGGGGTTAATACTTGATTCAGAAGAAAAATAAAGCAAATTTTTAATAACAAACAAATAAAATATACACTGTAAAGCCAGGGCTGGACCTGGCAAGGCTACAACAAGGAGATGCTGTACCAGCAAATGCACTAGCGGGTCCGTAAGACCTAGTCTCACAAGGACGACTTGAGATGGCAAATAGTCTCTGCACTTAGTAGAGAACAAAATCCAAGCAAAGAGACCAGATATTCAGCCATCTAGAACGTCTGGAGATTCTGTTTAGCAAGGAGCCCTCTGACAAAAGACAGAATGCCAAAGTTCATGTGGACCACTGAAAGTATCATGTTCAGCACCTGTAGCCTATGCGGAAACTTCCAGCACCAGTGATACACAAGGGAGCAGCAGGGATGGCAAGAGGAGCTTCTGTATCAGACTTCCACCACTAACGGATCCTAATGGATGACTTGTGGCAGTTCAACTCCTCCCTCCAGAAAATTCACTACAGCTTAGAAGACCTCACTGGAGCTGGGTGCAATACTCGGGAAGGACTCAGGGCCCAGAGACTGACCTTGAGGGGGGTTAAAAGAAGATCTTTGATACTGCCAACATGCTGAGCTTGTTATAGCAAGTACTTTCTGATGGGTGGGTTGCTGCTCACCTGTGTGGTCACGTTCCTCATGGTACAGTACCTGACGTGAGCCAGCCAATCCCATCAACTGAACAATGTTCCCACTGTGTGAAAGTCTGTGTGAGTGTGTATATGTGAGAGAGAGAAGAAAGCCCAGAAGCTGCCTTCTGAAATGTATGCCCAACTTAACTGTGAAGACCCTCCGGAAGTAATCGTGATCCGTAACCCAGTGCAAGTTGCAAATCTGCTCTGTTTTGTGTGACTCCTTGATGGGGAAGCTAGTGCCACCTAAGAAGCATGGAGCTTACGGGGCGCCTGGGTGGCTCAGTGGGTTAAAGCCTCTGCCTTCGGCTCAGGTCATGATCCCAGGTCCTGGGATAGAGCCCTGCATTGGGCTCTCTGCTCAGCAGGGAGCCTGCTTCCCCCACTCTCTCTGCCTGTCTGTCTGCCTACTTGTGATCTCTCTCTGTCAAATAAATAAATAAAGTCTTTAAAAAAAAAAAAAGAAGAAGAAGCATGGTGCTTAGGAAATAAAAGAAGTTCCTGTTCTCTTTCTCAAAATAAATAAACAGAAAATGTTTTTTAAATGTACACTGTAGGGCGCCTGGGTAGCTCAGTTGGTTGAGCGACTGCCTTCGGCTCAGGTCATGATCCCGGACTTTCAGGATCGAGTCCCGCATCGGGCTCCCGGCCCCTTGGGGAGTCTGCTTCTCCCTCTGACCTTCTTCTCTCATGCTCTGTCTCACTCATTCTCTCAAATAAATAAATAAATAAAATCTTTTTAAAAATTTTTTTAAAAATAAATAAATAAATGTACACTGTAGGGGCGCCTGGGTGGCTCAGTGGGTTAAGCCTCTGCCTTTAGCTCAGGTCATGATCTCAGGGCCCTGGGATCGAGTCCCACATCAGGCTGACTGCTCAGCAAGGGGCCTGCTTCCCTTCCTCTCTCTCTCTGCCTTTCTCTCTGCCTACTTGTGATCTCTCTCTGTCAAATAAATAAATAAAAATCTTTATTAAAAAATAATAATAATAAAATAAAATGTACACTGTAAACCCAAAGGCAACAAGTATAAAAATATTTTAAGTGGTATGAATACATCAACAGAAGAGATAAAACAGAATCATAACATGTTAAATTAAACCCAGAAAAGGCAGAAAAAGAGGGAAAAGAAAACAAGAAATAAATGATGAACAGAAAACAGCTAGCAAGATGGTAGATTTTAATCAAATCCTATCAATGGTTGCCTGGGGCCAGAGGAAAGGAGGGACTGGCAAAGGAGCACATGGAACTATGCGGGGTGATGGACACTTCCTAAGTCTTTTTTTTTTTAAAGACTGACTTTATTGACAAGCAGAGATCACAAGTAGCGGCAGGTGGAGAGAGAGGAAGGGAAGCAGGCTCTCCACTGAGCAGAGAGCCTGATGAGGGCTCTATCCCAGGACCCTGGGATCGTGACCTGAGCTGAAGGCAGAGGCTTTAATCCACTGAGCCACTCAGGCGCCCCAACACTTCCTAAGTCTTAACTGGGGTGGCAGACATTTGTCAATCCTCCTAGAACTGTATGTTTCAAATGGGTGCATCCTATTGCATGTGAATTATACCTCAATAAAGTCTATTTTTCCAAGTAAAGAGCAAAAAGTTAAAGAAAAAGCAAACTACTGGAGTAATTAAGAATACCTGCTCCGGACCCAAAGGCCCAGCCTCCCTCACTGGCGCGTCCATGCCGGCATTACTCGCCCTCCCCTCACCTCAGCTCTCTCGTGCTGGAACACCCCTCATCTGCCGACCCTGAGGCGGCAGCAAGAGCTCTGGGCCCCAGGCCGGCACACAGGGAGCAGCCATGCAGTGGAGGCCAGCATGAAGGGGACTCATGAAGAACAGGACTCATGAAGAACAACCTGTGTCCAAACAGGGGATCACACAGGGTGGCTCCCCGCGGGAGACGCCGCTATTTCTGCTCCAGGCAAACAAGTATCATCTGACTTAAGGCTCAGACAGAATTTTCTAAAATCGCTGTGGACAAGACAGCTCAAAAAGCACTGCACATATGTACTATATTCTTACTATCTCAAGATACATTTCTTAAATTACTCACTTTTTTCGGGTTAAGATATATTTTATTTTTTAAAATATCTGCTCTACGTTTTCAGAGATGTTAACTAACATCCAGCGAGAAGAGACTAAGTGCTCACAAGCTGAAAGGTCTGGAAGCATCCCCTTGGAGAAGCTGGCTCTTCTAGAGGCTACTAGTCAAGGGCTATGGGATTCCCAGGGCTGAGCATCTACTCAGATCCACGCTTGGAAGCTCCGGGCCAGACCCACGGGACATCAACTGCAGCGGTGCAAAAGGGACTCTGAGTAAGTAGCCCGTTAGAGCTATCTGTTCTCACCGAAGGTGAGCGCAAAGAAACGTTAAATGCAAACAAAACATTATCAGAAATAAATTGATAGGGGTGCCCAGGTGGCTCAGCTGGGCATCTGCCTTCAGCTTAGGTCATGGGCCCAGGGTCCCGGGATCAAGTCCCACATCAGGCTCCCTGGGAGCCTGCCTCTCCCTCTCCCTCTGCTGCTCCCCCTGCTCATGCTCTGTGAAATAAGTAAATAAAATATTTTATTAGAAAAAAAAAAAGAAATTGATAGAAACACACCTCATGGTTAGAAAATACTCCATTTTTCCTACATCCCTACTTCTGTACAGCTCAGTCCATATTTATGGAAGACCTACAATTTGCTGAGATGGACCCAAAGCCCACATACATGTTCTGGCTCTTGAGAAAACGGCACGGGAGTGGACTGTTTCAACATCATGAAGGAGATAGTATTAATATAAAAAGATGTGCACGTTACTACACAGCAGCCCCAAGAACAAGAAATGACTCACATGAGAATACAAAGCTAAGCACCAAGTGCCGGGCATTATGCCAAATAAATGCCATACATGTATTTCCTCCAATAACTCTTAGATGACCCAAAAGGCAGGCACTATTGTCTCTTTTTTGTTGTTGTTAAAGATTTGATTTATTTATTTGACAGAGACAGAAAGCACACAAGCGGGGGGAATGGCAGGCAGAGAGAAGGAGAAGGAGACTTCTCACTGAGCAGGGAGCCCGATGCGGGTCTCAATCCCAGGACCCTGGGACCGTGACCTGAGCCGAAGGCAGATGCTTAACTGAGCCACCCAGGTGCCCCACTACTGTCTCATTTTAAAGCGGTGGCACCTGAGGAGCAGAGCCATTGGGGAGGCCCATTGACACCACAGGGTAGGATGCACACCCGGACAGTGTGAACCCCACACCTGTGTGCACAACACCCCAACAGGTCTGCCTGCTGGCCACCGGGAACACGCCTCTCCACTGCTAATGCAGTGCACACATTTTCTCTTTAAAGGCTGACTCACCCCGCTCCCACTCTCTCCCACTCTCCCCCAGTCTCTCCCAGTCAGGCCGGCCACCTCCTGTGTGCACAGCACTTCTGGACCACACGCGCTCCCCTCCCTCTCCCTCTCCCAAGAAACTGACCACAGACTTTGTCCTGAGCACATTCCTCCTTCTAACACCTTCCATAACATCACTCCTAGGACAGGCAGCGTCCGTGGAATGAGCAAGTAAAAGACTCTGCAGTGGTTTTCAAGCAATGGCCACAGACAGGAGGCTCCCAGGCTGTCCCTTGGGAGAACATGAGCAAGAGGACCACGAACGTGCACACATGCCTCACAATCAAGGGCCGGGATGACCAGTGAAAGACCGACACCTACGACAAGCAACAAAGGAGAGAATGCGGAGTCCCTACACGGACGGCTCTGCATGAGGACACCCGCCCCGGCCAGCAGCGGACGGCTGGACCTACCACTGTTCTCAGACAGGGTCCTGGAGGCCCAGCAGGAGGGAAAATCCAAGCAGGGAGCACAAGTCGGAGAAGTGTGCTTGCCTGGGCGCTTTGCCAGGGAGAAGAAATGGCCAGAGACGCAGATCTATGCCAGTGTATGGCAGAAGCTGGTGTCTGGCTGGTCGGCCTAGGAACCTGGAAAGAACAAGGAGGGATAACTAGAGGCAGAGGGTTTTAGAGAAGGGGTCTAAGGATGGGCACGGAGCGTGAGGCAATCTATGTCCTCTGAATGCTCAGCAATGACAGCCACTGCCAAAGCAGCTCTCAAATGCCCTGCGCACGTCTGCCTCTGAGCTT